TCAGTAGTTTCACTCATTTCGGAAGGACCTGCTTGCTACCAGTGACTACAAAGGAATTATTGTGAATTGCTTACTCATTTTTTCTGATGCACTTATACTTAAGGATACTAGCTGAAAGTTTAATAGACTCCTTTCTCTCTATGCAAAGACACTTATGTAGGCATACATATGCAGACTTTTCATTGGAACTCAAACTCTCCAAACCCTTTCTGATTTTGACAGACTTGAAATTACACACTTTGTCGGTTTCATATCTTAATTGGTTGTTTCAATTATATATAAAATCAATATCATCATGTTATAATTTTGCTTGTCCTTTAGTTAATTTGTTAGTATGTACCTCATAAATAATCGACTATTCCGTTTTGATTGTTAGGTAAGATGGCAAAAAACATCAGAGATGCTGTTTGATTTCAGTAAGAAAAAGGAAGAAAATAATATATAGAAGGTGATAATGCTCTCATGTGTTTAATGTCTGCTGTAGTGAAACAGAAAAACTTGGCAATTTCAAATCTTTTCATTTGTACTCTCTTACTTTAAATAATGATATTGCAATATTTAGTTAGATATATTAAACTATTTATTTAATGAAAACAATGGGGGAATATTTCATGGGTATTATGTAAAGTATTTAAATTAATCGGACTATTGTCCTCATTTTGTCAGTTAAATTTTGTCACAACGTTTTCTGTTTAATTCCTAAAAAAATTCAGGTGGTTGGAACTTTCAACTGAACCCTGTATTTAGCCATCAAAGATTCAACTTTTTTCCGGTTTGTTTGATTGATGTCCAATCAGTTAAATTCCTTAAAAATTCCCTCTGAAAGTTCTCCACTTTTTTAACCAGGTATTGAATTCAAGATTCTTTGGGTCTGTCACTGGATTTTAAAATGCCTTTATCCAATCTGCCATGTGTCCTGAAAGGTGAAACTCAATAATGTTTTGAAAATACCAACCCAATTTTCAAGGGAAAACCAGCTAGGATTCCATAACAAAATAACTTACAAAAGATCAAACAGAAAACTCAAACTTTTAATATTCTTTTTGAAAGGTGGGCAAAAAGGGTTCAGTTTGAAATTCCAAAATTTTGAAGAATGTCTCATGGGGCTGCTTAGATGAAAATATGATTTACTAAGATAAAATAATAGTTCCATTTATAATGTAAATACTGTTTCAAAATTCCTTTTCTTTAAATATAGACAACTTGGGTATTTTGTAGTTGTGAAACTCATAAAAACTTATTTACTCATTAACTATTATAATAAATCAGAAAATTCAAAGAAGAGAGAAACCACAAACGTTTGTATTGAAACGATCAATGTAATGTGATTTTTTGTAAAAAATATATATAAATACTTTTATTTTCCATAATTTTGTTAATGTGTTTCAGGTCTTTATCTAATTATTTTAGGCAAAAGAATGAATATTTCCACTAATATATATATATATATAAAGACATTTTTATGTTTATACATTCTTTTTATAGATATATAAATATTTAATATAAATTTTTGTTTATAATAAACAGTATTAACACCATTTACAACACCTGAATGTCCAAAAATTTCATAAAAAAGATGTGTCCTCCAAAAAATTTTTATGTATATTTAATATCCAATTTTCTGTATTTTCAATAATGCACACAAAACATTAATATATATATATATATATATATATATATATATATAAATAGACAAAATTTTTTGTACAATTATTTTAAATTATTTTTATGTTTATACATTCTTTTTATAGATACAAATATTTAAGTAAATGCAATGTTTATAATAAACAGTATTAACACCATTTACTGACCTGAATGTCCGAGAAATTGTTTAAAAAAGATGTTTCCTCCGACAAAAATCAACCTGTATCCTGTATGGAACCAAATATAGCCTAACGTGATTTAAATATTTAAATTGAAAATGGAATTTTTTTAAATTTGTTGATAAAACTTTTATTAATAAACAGAGCGTTTACTTAAATATTTGTACCTATAAAAAAGAATGTATAAACATAAAAATGTCTTAAAATAATTGTCAAACTTTGTCTATTTCATAATATATATATATATATATATATATATATATATAATGTTTGTGTGTGCATTATTGAAAATACAGAAAATTGGTATTGTATACATAAAACCTAGTGGTGTTGGTATCATTTTGTACTAATGTGTTGAAAAGGTATCTGCTCAGAATCTCTGGTTAATTTCTGGGATTTTAGGTGTACAATACCAAATTTCTAAAACCCATGTCTGTGAAATTGTCAATTGTCCAGGATTAAAATTTTTGCGTGTGTTGTTTTAAAATTGCTTTAATTACTTTTATCACTAAAATCTTGAATATTTGCAAAATAATTCTTGATTCTTTTATTAAAATGACCTTCCATCTCGACTTCAGTCCCTTTCTCAACATCATTTTTTTGAGGGTTGTATCTTTTCTATAAGGACTTTCATGGTAATTGTTCTGATTAACTTTCATCTATGGTACCAAAGCTCTATGAATTTAAGCGCAGTACAGGATTGATGTTAAAGTATGTAACTGTAAGTTCTATGCTAACAGTTTAATTTCT